CCACGACAGCTCAACAGGTACATATCCTTGAATAATTCATTAAATAGCATTTAGATTTTCCATTAGATTGAGAAACTAGCAGAACATAATGTACTCCTGTTGACATATCAAATGGAAGAAAAAAGGAGACTTAGTAACTGAGGACAGTAGATGTGAAAAATGATGACACCCAAGAATAAAGACAGAAAGAATATTGTTACAAAGACATGGCACCCCACAACTATATACAGGACAAATATGTTTTAAAAAATAGTATAAAGTAAGTGAACAAAAGAACAAAAGCACAAAAGCAATAGTTTGTTAATTAATAAGTAATACAATTAACATTGTCATGAAATAGTTTAATAGAGCAAAAGAGTAATAAAGTTTTAAAACTTCTGGGAACCATGAATGAAGGCAGTCCATGTAAAAAAAAAAATCACTTCGTATTATATCAAGTACTATCCTTTCCATCAAATGCTTTGTTATGAGTTAACAGAAAAAAACATTTCCCAAGATGTATACACTGAAGAGATTTCTTGATAAGGAAGGAAAATCATTCTTCCCAAATGCTTTCTTAGGACCATGAAGAGAAAACTATCTGGTGTACTTTTTAAAGCAAAATACACAGGCAGAGTGCTTACTGATGAGCCTTCAACAATTCCATTGCTCATTACATTTTCAACACGTCACAAAATTACAGCATACATTTTCTGTGTGGCTTTTTTTGTTTGCTTTTTATTTTAGAGGAACCAGAATCCTTACTCTCTTACAATTTTCCAATCAGCCTAATCTGCAGAGCACGTTGACTTGGGATCACTAGCTTGGGTAATAGCACTTATCTTTATCTAAAGCAGTATGAATTATGACAGAATTTACCTAGAAACCTTAATCACACACCATTGCAGGCTGTAATGCCAGATTCTATCAATTAAATTTCTTGCCAAAGAGCTGAAATTTCATATAGTGTCCAAACTATGCATTTTATTGCAGGCTTCTTAAATACTAAATTCACAAAAATTATAATAAAGCCAAAGGAAGCAGGATAAAAAGTTGACAAAATATGTAACSTTTGGCAATTCATTAGAAACTGCAAAAATTCTTTTAGCTGATAAATTTGAACTCCATGCAAAATGTCATTTAAAAAAGAAATTAACATTATATAGTGAAGTATTTTTATTGTATTTAATTTTGCTGTATTTTTTTCTTTCCTTTGGAAAATAAAACTTATTGCATATAAGATACTTTAAAATTTTCTGTTCATATAACCACAAAGAAAGGTCAGAAAAACAAAGGCAAGAAATGATAGTGTACATCAGAAATCTGTGATGATAACTCAACTTTTACATCAGTATCTGACTTTGAAGACATCTAGAGCCAAATATATCTTCTGAAGCTGCTGTTAAAGACCTGTAACTTCTCTCGATTCCCTAATCTGGAGGACCAAATTTATATGCTCTGCAAGTGAACATGAAAAGAACACCTATTCCATTTTTATGCCACCAGTTAAAATTCTTTCACCTATGTTTCTAAACATGATTTCTGCAAGATGTGCTACATATAAAAATTCATGGCTATATAGTGAGGCTCACAGACTATTACAACTGGTTTGGTATACTGTAGCTACAGCCATAGCTGTAATTTGCTGTAGCTTTGTAATTTGCTAATGTCACAAACATCCCAAACTGATGCCACATGAAATTTTCATATCATCTACATCCCTTTTTCCTAAATAACTCCATAATTTACAAATAATTGAGCTTATAACAACATTTCTTCACTAGAATTATGCATCTCTGTTTCCTCTGTACAATTGTTCTGTTTGCAATGGTCAGCTGCAAAAGTTTCAGAAATTATTGTGAAATATAAGAAATTCTATGTCTCTTACAAGATGCAAAGTCTGTAAAAATAATTAGAGATGTCCATTTATTTCAATGCTTATGATACATCACAATGACTCATTCAAGGCTGACTCCCACAAGGTTCCAAAAACATTGGTAATCAATCACTTTSCACAGCAGCACAGGTGCAGGCTGCAGCAGAAGTATTAGGTGTGGAACCTGGCACTCGAAGAACAACAGGCTCAATGCCAGYCTAAGTAGATCTGCCAGACTGTGTTTAGTAGCAATATTCAAATCTCATACAAATGTTGGTCTTCCACTCCTCTCAACAGAAAAAGCAATGTAAGAAGCTAAAACTTATAGACTGCCACAAACAGAGTAACTTTCCCTGAAAAATATTCTCATCACTTTAAAAAGAAAAAATCAAGCTTGCTATAATGACATTTTAATTAAATCTTACAGAACCTATTTTATCACATAACATTTTCATGTTACTTCACAGAAGCAATATATTTTCCCATTTGTTACACAGTTTCTCCCACACCCACTGTACATTGTGATACCAACCTAATTTTGGATCTGAGCCTGCATGCATGCATACACTTAACTACATTCACATAACTCATGTCATTGATGCAAGTGCGCTCAGAATGAAGTTAAGCAAATGCACGAATGTTCCAAGATCCAAATTCTCCTGTTGAAAAAGCCTTGGAGCTAGGACTTTGACTGATATAGCTGAAATTCCACGTAGTGGTCTTCTATGAAAACAACAGATTGTCTTTTTAAAAACCTTACATTCTCTGCTACAGAAACTGGTATAAAAACCTATCACAACACAATTCCAAAACTGATAACTCTCCCACTGAGCAGCAATGAGAATGCATTGGAGCAGAGAACTCAGAAAACAAAAGATTATGATAATCTCTTCATTCTTAGTGATGTACCTTRATAACAGAACTCCTTGAAATAAAAATGAGTGAGGTCACATGCATCTCGTAAGTTTTGAGTACAATATACAGACTCATAGGAAAGAAAGTCCTTCACTCCAAAATACTTCCAAATAAAGTATCTTCATTTTGAAAGAGAACTAAAAATTATCTTTCCTCAGAGAACTGAGGAAATCTGTTCTCTGCAATTATACAGTGTGGAAATAAAATCCTTTATTTATTATCTTAGTGTTTGAAATAAATACACAAAGAAAGTTTTATGGTATTTGTTACCAAGTTTTGAAAACAAACTAAAGGTTGCCTAGACGTATGGTTCAGTGAGGAGCAAGTATTCACAAAACACTATCCATAATGCCACCAACAAAACATATTTTGCAACTTGAAATGACTTCTTATTTCCCCTGATATCACAGACAAAGTTTAATTCTACAGCTAAAGTTCTAAATGTAGATTAATTAAARTAATGAATGAGGGATTGGACAGAAATGGCTACAATGTTAAATCACAGATAATCCTACAGGATCATGYGCCTTTAATACACATGGGATGCAAATATCTCCTGAAAACCTGTCCTAAATTTAAAAGTGTACAAGTTAGAGAACTCTGCAAGTGTTTTTAAAACGACATCCAAAATGACCTGTAAAAAATGATGACCTGCTGCCATTTAACTGGGGGAAACYGCACTTCTGAAATGTTTCCTAGCCACAAGGTCAAGATCTTTTACAAACAGGAAAACACAGCATCAGCTTATGATAGGTAATACAATGCAATGGTCTATTACAAGAAAAAGCAGCAGCAGGCATGATTCCTGTATCTCATAGAGGCAAACACGCTCCTTTCTTCTGCAAAGTGTAGAAAGAAAACTACATGACTTCCTCTAATTCTGGACTATTGATAACTTAAGGTGTTGCAGTTCCACAGCTTATACTGTTTCATATGTGTGTGYTCCTACTCACTGACACTGAAACAAAGTATTCATTATAAAATGTGGGAAAGACCAAATGTGAAAGCATGAACAATAGCTAGTATGTTCACTACTATCATCACAAGTATGTTCTGTTCAGTAGAAGCTCCAACGGCTTTAATTAGTTTCTAATCTTTAAAAAGTCAACACAACAGAGTAACAGAATATAGCAGAAAATACAAGTTTTTGCAAGTTCATTGTGCTGAAAAAGTAAAAAAAAAAAAAAAAAAAGGTTTCACAGTTGTATTTTTCCTAATTGAAAATATTCAGAATTTAATTTTTAGTGAGTACAAAAGTCAATACACCTAATTCAAATATTCTAGAATATGCTTCAGAAATTGTCTCTCATGAAAAAAAATCTATATTTTAAACACAAAAAGTGACTATCTTATTGGCAAAATAGAATATTGATGAAACTAGTTATCTGTGTTGAAGTGGTGACCTTGTTTTTTACCCTGAAGTAATAGAGGCTTCCCTACATTTTGAGCATTAGTGKTTTATTACCATTATTATTTATTCTTAAAGTTTGTTATAAAATGCCTACAAAAATTGTTTACCATATTTTTAGTAGTTTTAATAATAAAATTTAATATTTATTGATCTCTTTAGACTTTTTTGCATCAGTGTTTATAAAGAAAAGTGTGTGCATTAAAAAGCTTCAATTTTTATGCAAAAAACATCTTGAAGTTACACAGAAGTATATTAAGCCAGAACAGTGAGTGCAATGTTATGTTCCCCTAGGCACAAGAGCTCATTTTGCTGCCAGAAACAATCTAAACCAAATTTCTAGGCAGGCTTTGTAGTGAAAAATGAAGAGACTTAGCTTAAAGAAATGCATTATAGAGGAGAAAAGACAGCAGAGACTAAGGTGCACTAGTGATAATTGCAAAATTATTTTAAAAGTAAATTCAAAGAATATAAAATTAATACCTGTGGCAAATAACAAAAATAAAATTAATATACAAAGCAGTAAAAAATATGTTTATTTTTAAAGATATTTTCTCATGGCAGAAATAGTAACAAAACTGATGGCATAATACTTATTAGAATTACACTTCACTGTGGAGTCTATTAATATTTTCTACAAAGTGCTTACAAAAGTGGCTACTTTTACACATTGTTCATAATGGTGTATTTTTCCCCTCAATTTTCAGTAATCCCTTGAAAGCCTCACACTAAAATTAGTTCTCCTGAAGCAGTTTTTTCCTGCAGTACTTTATTATTACAGGATTGGCTTTTAAGTGCTGAATTACTAACTGATACTTAAATTTTTCTGCAGGCTTATAAGCACAAAATAGTGAGCAAAAGTACAATAATACCGGCATATCAATCTTGAAGGCACGTCTTTATCATTATGCAGTTAAATGATGCTAACAGTTATGGTCTGAAAGACTGGTTCTCCATATTTATAAGTCCTGAAAACTTAGCTTATTTTATCATGACATAAAATAATCTATAGCCAAAAGATATTAATGTTTTTCCTTATGCGACAACCACTGCAAAAATTAGACTATTTTCATTTTAACTGTACAATACATTAGTTTATATACTAAAATCAGGGCAAACTGCTGCAAAACTTACCCCTTGCAAAGTGAGACAGGTCTGTCTACAATGGATTGAAAATATGATTTACTACAACACTGCCTGAAATTGTGAGGCTTTAACCAAATCTAAAACATCTACATAAGAAGGGGAAAAGAACTACTGAACAGATAAAAGTAAAATCTTGATTCTTATATCAAATGTTATGCATTTTAATATGATTTTCCCCTGATTTATGTAAAGCTTTGTGGTTTTCATTTTCCCTGGCTTGTCACATTGTAGTGATGTATGGTACATTTTAGCGTCAAGTTTGCCATGAGCAATAAAGTCAGTGCCCCCAAAGAAATATCAATATATTATCACTCTTCCCCACCATGCCACATTTCCAAATTTTCCTTTATCCAGCCTATTTGGTTTTGCTTCATATAGTTAGCTGATATCCTTTTCACAGTCTCCCACAAAAATATTTAATGTTTTATTTTTTAAAGAAATCCAAACCCATAAATTAACAGGATGAAATATAATTTACTATCCAAGGCAAGATGAGGCCATCATGGAAAAAAAACACTGAGGTACTTTATCTGCTTGGAATAATAAAATTTAAAAAAATAAAAAAAATAAAAGGAGGGGGAAAAGGAGAAGGCATGATCTATTGAAAGACATGCAGGAAATGTTGCTTAAGAGACATGAAATGAGAAAATGAGAAATACCAATATAATAATGTTCTGTAACAATCTCTGCACTTCTATCATCAAAGTGCAGAAAGACATAGGAAGAGCTATAARAAGATGACTGCAACAATAGAAGAAAGATCATGAGGCACCCTCTTCAACAAAATATTAATACTTGTAGAGGCTCAAGAGGAAAAGAATMATTTTAACTGTAAAATAATAAAACGAGAAACAGTAAAGTGATGACAAATACAAAGAAAAGTATTTTCTGTTTTGACCTCAGTTCTGCTCACATGAAAGTCTGCAGCATTTAAACCACCAGAGTTCCTACTCCTGTTCTGTTCTTTCTACGGAATCATAAGCTAATACAATTAATGCCAATGAACTAATAATGATTCCTTTTAAATTTTTGATCAAGATAATCTCCACATGATTTGAAATCATCCATTAGATGTATCTTTCATATGGAAAAAGCCCAAAACCCAGTACACTCAAAATTGAAGCACTTACAGGTTAGTAAGTTTTTTAATTGTCCACTTCACACCAGAAGCATCAAAAACAGATGCCATCTCTCAGAAATTCAATACTGTTCATACTGTGTTCTACAGTGCAGCTGTTCTACACAGCTTACACATATGCTTGACTGAACTACATTGGCTGAGCACTTTGAGGTTTCAAGATGAAAAATGCCACACAAATATACTACCTTGATTCATTTACTTGACACAAGGAAGCATTTGTGTTTGGTCTTTCCTAATTGTAAGTTCTGAAATCCAACTAAATATGTACATTGTTATTTCAACTTAACAACCACATGAAAATAGGTAGGTTCACTACAAATTATGACAAAATAACACAAAACTAGAAAGCATATGTATGGCTTTAAATGAAAACAACATTTGCAGCCTACTTGCCTTATTCTCCAGGTGTAATTTTAAAAAATGAAGGTAGGCCACAGGTGCAAATGCATCAGCTGAATGCACGACCACCTTGGCTGAATCTCTGAAATACAAGATTTTTACCATGAAATAGTATAGTAAATAATTTTACATAGAGACAACATTTAGTCACTGTATGACACAAACTCACAGATAACTAATTGAAAATCTATTAATTTCTTATCAGTTTTTTCATATAAATTAAGAAAATGTAGTTATATAAAATCTTATTTTTGAACAATACATTACCTTCAAGAATTTTGAATTTTCAAAAGGAATAAATTATACTTCCTGTGTGAGCTGGYGTAGGAGGATGCAACAACAGCCACATAAAACCACAGCTGAAATGCAAAGAGTAATCTTGTTCTCATTAGCTCACTACCTGGGACCCATGAAGCAGCGTTCAGGCAGAGCCACAAAAGAAGGGACACAGGCACTGCAGAGACTTGGTCCATGCTAGAGCATCACCAAACCTGCTGCTCTGCCTGCACCTCAGGGATTTGCACAGGCACAACACCCCACTGCGCTTTGATCTTTCCCACAGCCCAGCAGGAATCTCAAGCATGTTTGATAGGGSCCCTAAGTCTATCACAGGCCTATGTTATTTAAACACAGATGCTCTGCTCATCCAACACATAAGGCCAAAACCTTGTGTATATTACTATGATACATGTGTTTTTTGACACCCCAGCTGCAAGTCACTTGAGTGTGTTTACAATACTCCTTGCCAGTCTTCCACTATTTTCCCACATTTCCAGACCAATATTAAGAGAACTAGTTAGCTGTAGTCTATGAAAGAATAAACTACATTATGCTTTAGAACCCAGAGACTAATATAGAAAGCAATCCTTTAATTTCCTCAAAAGGAGGTTTTTTAAAAGTCCATTGTTTTGATTAATGCTCCAGGGTTTAGTTTTTGAAGAATTAACATACAGTATTGCACACTGAGAAACTGGCTGATTCAACCATCTTTCATCTGATAGTGAAGACTACTAGACACAACTTTTTAATGCCAAATGTGTTCACAACAATGTTCAACTTCCTGTGTGCTGATTCAAATTAGTTAATTTTAGTTTTCATTTTTACAGACACAATCTGTCACACTTTGATTCACAAGAGGCAGTATCTGTTATATCCATCTGCACAATTTTACTACTTAAGAAAAAGGTATCTCTAAGAAACAAACATCAGAAGGTGAGAAATTCAAAGAYAAGAGAAATTCAGATGCAGTATGAGAAAATCTAAAAATTGCTGTAAGGCTAAGGACACGCATAWTTTTCCTGAAATCAGTGCCCTTGGTACCACTACAGTGTTCAAAGAGATGATATAGATTTCTAGTAATATCAGATAAACTCCATGCAAATTCAAACCAGTTGAAGCTTTGGCCAGATCCCTGTTCCTTAACAAAGGTGTAAAATAAACAGAAATGTCTGTTCTATAAAACGTGTTWAAAAATATTATTTAAAAATAACAAAACATCACACAATAATGATAAATACCTTTAATATAAGAAGATCCACTTCCCTTTAAGTGAACTTTTGAAACGTTTTGATAAATACGTCTCARTTTCATTCTTGAAAGTAATTATCRAGATTCTGTATGATTAAAATATTGTTTACATTTAAGATATAAGATAACTTATAGATAGTTCCTTAATATTAAAATCATTCTTTTCAAATGGCCATGGTGTCTTCTAACAGAAATAGGTAGAAAATAACTTTGGAAATCTTAGCAAGAGGAACAAGCAATTAAAAATAATAAAAAAACAGACACCAAGACTACAATAGTACCTTGTACCAGGGTACTACTACTTCTATCAGTGTCAGAGTTTCTCAATAAACATTTCACACTTGTTGTTCAAGTCCTATTTGGGGGAAATCTAGCACTTTTTAATGACAGATTAACTACTTAAAACTTAATTAACAGAAAAGCTTATATCAGAAAGAAAACCCCCAAAATTTCAAGTTATTAAATGTGTTTGTTTAATTGAAAGAATA